TGCTAGTGAATAACTCTAGGATGTATTTAAATATTTCATATTTATTTTCTTAACCTTTTAGGCAACTGAATCTATTGATAAGTCGGCTCTTAATTACCTGACCTTCTGGAATTGGCCTTTTTAAGTTCTCCAGCACTGTTGAACTACATTTTCTCTCTTACAGGTTTCAATTTCCTTATAGATGCTCCACTGTCGGGTGTCTCTTGGACCTCTGTAGTGGTTCCTGCCACTTCCTGTTCCTGTCCCTCCTTAGGTGTTTTTACACATCCACCACCCACATGGTAATTGTGGTCTTCAGCACGGGCGTCTCTTTACCTTCTAGACACTTCTACTTTGAATTTCAACAGGCATCTCAAGAGCACCAAGCCCCAGGAGATCTTCCACTACAAAACTTAAATGTTTCCAGTCAGACGCTGCCTTTCTATGGAGCTGTGCAGCCCACAGTCACAGGCGACTTGGTAATCCCTGCCTCCTCCCCTGTCATCTCTACTCAGTCCATAGTCCAGCCTCACGCTCCTTTAACTCCCTCTTTGCCTTGTGTCTTCGCTAGAGTCCTCTTGAGTTGAGGCCTACATTTTGGTAACTTCGCTTAGAAAGATAGTCTACTGACTGGACTTCTTGTCAGTAATCTTTCCCCTAGTCTGATCATATTACTGTTACGATAATTCATTTTTCTGAAATGTAAGTCAGATTAAGATTTCTCATCATTTAAAAAAGTACTTTAGTCCCCAAAGCATAGCCTTTCATGTGAAACAGATTTTTGTGTGAAACAGATTTGGAAGTGGTTTTTCTTAGGCCTTTTACTGAAATATAATACATAAAAAGCTTATTGGTATCACTGACAAACTTACTCCTTAGCCCTCCACTGTCTTTTATGGAACACTTTTTAAAAATTCCATGTCACCTTTGTTACCATATCTCTCAGATTCTTTTCAGCTTTAAATGCTTATGATGTTAGGATCTTATTATCTTATTGCTTTTCACTGAGTTTACCTATAAGAGATGTATATATATAAAATGTATGTATGTATATACACATTACATACACACAGACACACACATATATACATATATCTTACATAAGATATATATATATATAAACACATATACATGTATCTTATGGGTGAAATATATATATAACTTCATATATATGTATGTATGTGTATATATATATATGTGTGTGTGTATATATATATATATATATATGAAGTTATATTAGTAGTTTGATAAATAAGACTTTAGTGCAGTTTTTACAGTGAAGTAGCTATTTCTTAGGGGTTTTTTTTGTTTTACAAATAGTGTCAGAATGTCTTGTTGGATAGCTTCTATATGTGTAATAAACTACCATTAGAGTTTCTAAGCTTCAAAATCTCCTGAGAGATGTCGCTTTAATCTGGAAAGAAATTACCTTCTTTTGCCCACTATCATTCTTCTTTCTGGTCTGTCAGCCACTACCCCACTATGCTATCAGGGGACATGTAGGCCAGGTGGAGAGGAATGGTCGGTGGTCCTTACGCAGAGAGGTCTGATGGGATCCTCCTGGGAACAGGTGGTCACTGTAGGTTCTGTCCACCTGCTGTAGCCAGGGAATACTGTCTAATTATATCCTGTCCGTGCAAAAAATAGGAAAACAAAACAGAATTAAACAAAAAACAGCTCTTGCCCCAAAGAGAGTAAGAGCTGGTTTATCTTGGAGCCTGGGACACATGGAATGGGTTATCCAGTCTTCGAGTTCCCCAGTAGAAGTAGTTTCTTGGATTTATATGGTAGTAGAACAAAGAAAGCCACAAATCAAGGTAATTTCAAAATATGGTGGGCACTTCAAAGAATTGGTCCCGGCAAGATGGGGGCTTTCTCCTACAGGCCTCAGATGACATACTTAGCTTTTGGGTTTGGAAGCTATGGATTTGCTGGGTTAATAAATTCCCAAAAGTTTCCTGGTTTTTTGTTTTGTTTCAATTTATTAGTCACAGGATGTTAGTTCCCACACAGAGGCAGACAAGGCACGGCTATTCAGGGGACTAAACTAGCTCGAGATAATGTATTTAGACCCTTGACCTGCAGATTAAGTCCAGCCTCTCCACATCCTCACTGCAGGCAGCTAGTCAGCCTTTGCAAACATAGCCTCTTTCCAGGAACTCTTGTTTATCGTCCTATGTAAAAAGACCACTCATCATAGCTTTGATATTTTTTCCTAAACATTCTCAAATGTTAAGAAATATCAGTTGATTTTAGAAGCCAGCCTTTTGAATGTGTTACTGTATGTTAGCTTGTTATCATGGGTTGTTCAGGAGCAGGCAGTTCGGTGTTTAGAGTGAACTTGCATTTGTGATGTCATGGTGCTTGGAGAGGCATTTGTCGACTGGCTCCATCCTATTATGTTTGCATCTCTGAGTCTGAGTCATTTGATTTCTACACATACACTTCTTATAACAATCCACAGATAGAGTCATTAATGTGGCACTTAGTTCTTTTTCTATTTACCCTCATAGTTCAACCACCAGAGAGGGGAAAATGATTAAATGGCTTTTTTTACTCTTTGGAAATACTAAATATTAGCTTTTGAGTTCCATGTTATTTTTGAATGTTTTAGTTTCTGGGTTCACTATACTGAAGTTTGAAAAGGTGTTTTTCTGAATTCATTAAGATTTATAGAATGACAATCCAAAAGAAAACATTTCAGTTCTACTTACTTAGTTGTCTGAAAATAATATGACTGTCCAGCTACCTCAGTTGTTAGAACATGAAAATACTCTTCACCTATGAAAAAATAAAACAGACTCGTATGCCACTGAGGCATTCCCCAGTTCAGCAAATTACTTTCTGTGGGATAACATGTGACCAAGACTTAGGACGAGCGGAGTACCTACAGTTACAACAAAGACATTGACGCAATAAATATTCTTTGTTTTTCCGCAGCCACTGTGCTTGATAATCATACTTTGCTGCTTGTCTGTGGAGTCAGATCCTGTCCTCATCTACTGTGTCTTTCTATCTGTGGTCACCTCTCTCTTTACTAAAGACAATAAGTAATGTTATTGAACTTGAGGGTCATAACCTATGCCACAAGTCAGGTCTGCAATAAGCTAATTAAAAGTGGAAAGACAAAAAAGTAGATTCAATCAGGGTAGCCATGTTGGGAAGAAGAATGTGGAGATCGAGCAAACCCCCTAAATCTGTCTTCAGTCTGGAGTGAGACCAAAGTTTAAATAGAGGCCCCAAGGTATGCACAAGGCTTATGTACTTGCCACAGCATGGTATGGAGGTCAGAGGAAAATTTGTGAGAGTCATTTATCTCCTTTCACTTTGTGTATTCCAGATATGAAACTCAGGTCATCAGGCTTGCCAGCAAGCCATCTTGCCGGCCTAGTATAGGAAATTCTTTAAAAACAAAACTTTAGGTTTTGTTTTTGTCTAGGGAATTCAAGCCACTTAGACCCATTTCCTGAATTTTCAGATTGCTTTCCCTTGTAAGAAAACTTTTATCTTCCTTTTCTTTCCAGAGAAGAAAGGCAAATCAAATAGTTACTGGATTCTGAATGCTCAAGACAATACAGTATGGAAAGAGGCTGGCTATAGGTGACACACCAGATTTACCATCCTGTGTATGAGAGATACCTTGAATTCTAGTTTCTACTGGTAAATCTTTTAAAAAGCTGTTTTAGAATGTTGTTTCTGGAAATCTTCCAAATGCCCGGTAAAATAACTCCCATTCTAGGGCTGGAGCTGTGTGTAGGTCAGCTGTAGAGAGTTTTCCTAGCATACCTAAAGTATTTGGGACCAGTTTATCTGGTATGTTCTACATAAGAGTCCCTGCAATTCTCTAAATCACCTCTAGTGAAGATTGTGTCACTTGTGTCAACATTAACTCTGTAAGGGCAGATGTACTAAAGTGGAGAACAGATCTTTATAAATGATGGGGTCCTGTTTACACTGTGTTTTGGTTCTCATGAAGAACAGATAAAAGCCCAGGAGTGCAGTACCACACAGCTGTGCATGCAGTGCTTTTTTGTGTACCTTGTTGCAAAAATATTTCTTGAGTGTGATAGTGACCTCATGCCAACTAGCCCTTCTGTGATGAGCTCACTCTCTTAGTAGACTACATTTGTTGGCAAACACTTTGCTAGCTTCTAAATGCAAGTCTGCCTTTCCCCCCACCCCCGGTGCTTTTGGTGCTGAGATGGATTCTCTTTGTCCACCAAGGCCAGTGAGCAGCGTTGTAGTTAGGAGCTTGGGTGTTGAGTTCAGAACGCGCCTGAATAGTAAGACCTAAAGTGTAAATGACAGATAGTCGTGTACTTCAGGAGAGCTAGTCTTTACTAAAGAAACTTAACCTCCTCAAAACTTTTATTAGTATTGGTAAAGGGAAAATTATATAATTACAAAATTATGAGAGAAAATTGGGGTGTAACTTGCAGTGACCTCTTTGTCACAAAGTGTTGATTTTCTGAAGCATTATCTGTTTCTTCCGCTGTGTATTGCCTGAGGAAGCTATGCATGTTAGCACCCTTAACTGACACTGACATTCAGCAAACCCGAAGATGCCTAGAGGTGTGTGGCTCATCAGGGACAGGGTGAGCTGTGAGTGTCAGGCATAATATTTTTTCCACACTTTTCTTCTTTGCTACTAAGTAGAGAAATGACTACTGCTATTCTGGATAATTTTTAGCTGAAAACCTTAAATCTATTGTTTAATATTTATCAAAATTATAATAAGTGCTTTTTAAAAATTGTTTCTGCATGAGATGGACCACATATGGCAATAAAATGTTCTCTGTATTCTTGCATTTGTTTTCGTAACTTAAGGTTTAGTAGAGTCTTTGAGCAGAAAATCAAAGTCATTATTTAATCTAATTGTATTGATGTTTTCAGTGATGTAATGGTTGATACGTGAACATCTGAAGCTAATCTGAGTATTTAAGCACATAAACTGTTACTATAACGCAAGCGCAATTTTCAGTGAGAAGGAATTATTTTAAATTTGCTTTTCTCTTTTACAGGAAGGAGCTTGAAGCCTTCAAAGGTAATTCTATGTTTAATTCTTCACTTCCACTTAGTTGAGGATTAATTGGTGTCAGATGTCGTAGCTTGATGATGAAATAACTCATTCTCTTTTCTTTAAACCAGGTAGTAGGTAGTTTATATTGAAAAGCAGAAGCCAACATAATACTGTAACTTTTATGTAAGTTTTATTTAATCCCAATAAGTTTGAGATTCTGGTTTAACTGTAGCACAGGCGCTGTGTGAGTCTGCTGATGACCACTGGAAAAAGCGTGAAGAAGGCGGAGTGTTCAATCTGTGTTGTTGAGATGTAGGATTCAGAAAATGATTTCTGCTATGCAGTGAAGAGGTGGGGAGGGAGCTCAGAATATGCTTGATAGTCTCATGAACATCCAAGAAGTTTGCTCCGTCAGGCTGGGTTCTGCTCCCAGACTGTTCTGTGACTTTGAGCTTGGTGTCTCTGTAAAAGTAGAGATTCTGATGAAGGATATTCTGAGATTCCGAAAAGCAAATCAGTGTTACTTTTTATCTTCGAGGAGCTTTTGAAGGGGCACATAGAGAACAGTTCTTGGCTATGTTGCCTTGTACTTGGTCATATTGGTTGCTTTTTGTTGCTGTGATGGAGCACTGTGACTATGGTACTTTATAGGAGGAAGGGTTTGTTTGGTTCCAGAAGAGTACATGATGGCAGAGGCCTGGGGGCATGGCAGCAGGGAACTGGAACAGAAAGCTTAGAGGTCATTTCTTTAACCATAGGCCTGAAGCAGAGCACGGACTGTATGTGGGTTGGTGCTAGGAGCTATGAAGGCCTGCGCTTACTTCAGTAAGGCTGTACCCCATCCTTCACAAGCACTGTCACCCACGGGGAACCAGGTGTTCCACTGCCTGAGGCCATGGGGACATTTCTCATTCAAACTACCACAATGGTCACGGAGAAACCCACAGACTTCCATCAGTTCAGGGTCCTTCCAGTATGCCCCCGTTCAGCTGTTTGTTACTAATTCCATAGAAGCTGCTAATTCTGAGAGACTCTTCAAGGAGTAGAAGAGGTAAATTACTGTTGACTCTTTTGTGGTCTGCTGCATGCTTGTCACAACTCACATAAGCTTGACTTACTGAATGAGTGTTTGTATTACCTGTGTGTCTCGTCTGTTAGGATGTTTCAGAAACATGACTATCCTGTAAGACAAAGCTCATAAAGGCTTATTCCTCCTGTGGCTGTATCAAACAGACTCTGTTGTCTAATTTCTATTTACCCACTGCCATGATTAAGTTCGTGGCCAGGTGTTGAAGATGATGCTACATGGCCATGCGATGGCATGTATTGTCGTGCTACCGTTGCTTTTATTGACTTGTAATCCCCTGTGCAGGGGCATTATTTTTCACCAGTGCTTTGAAACAAGATTAGAAATCCTCATAAAATGCTGCTTTGCCTCTTGTTCGTTTTGATTGACCAGTTTAGCATTTCTTATGTAATATTAAGAGATGGAAACAGCCCAGTCAAGCTAACAGTAAAAGACAAGCAGGGACACGTGTTATATAAAGTGTCAGCTTTACTTACATCTCCCTACGGAAGCATTCTGTTTTAGTGTGTCATTCTTAGAGACCAGCTGTTTTCAAAAGGTTAGGTAATATTGCACATTGCTTGATAAAATAATTCCGTTTAGGGTGAACTCTTGTTTATGCACACATTCCTAACTTTGTACAACATTTACAGCACACCAGATCTATCCCGAGAACAATTTATGTTCTTGAATTTGGGCAAACACCGAATTTGCATTATATCTAGGTTTTAAGCATTCTAAGAATTGCCCTTGTGCTAGGTACAGTGCCATGCACCTATACTGTGATATACAGGAGTCTGGCACTGGAGGGTCCCTGGACCCCAGGAACAGTCTGAACAAAGATGAGGAGAGGCTGTCTTGAGAGAAGGGGAGGAAAGAAGGAAGTTTGCATCTGAGTGTTGTGCTAGTACTTTAGAAGTACAAGTAATCTGCAGCAAGAAAATGAACTATTCTCCCGAAATATTAATGGGAAAAAAGGTTTAAACACTCACTAAACATGTTGTAATACTGTATTTTTTTAATGTTGCTTTTTTTCCTTTTGAGGTTGCAGGAAATATGAAGATTTTACTTTCTTCAGTTTTTTTATTCGACTTAGTACTGTACTCAGAAGCCCTTTTCTAAATTAAGGGATACGTGATTTGGAGGGAACAAAACACAAGATTAGAAACCATAAAGTTAGGAGCAGGTTGGTATGGTCCCCAAGCTCTGGCTTCTCCCTCAGTGCTTGTTGCGGCTAATGAGCTGAGGTTGCCCTTCACTTCTGGTGCATGTCTGCTGTAGGATGACAGCGGTGGTTTTAATTTTGGTGGTGAAAAGAGCTTTGATTCCCCACATGCTGTATTCTTTTAACCTAGGTGAGGAGTCTTAAGTATTAGACAGTTGAGAATTCTTTTTTTTTTTTTTTTTTTTTTCAGAGCTGAAGTTTGTTACTGAGGACTGAACAGAGAGCCTTACACATGGTAGAAAAGTGTTCTCCCTCTGAACTCTGCCCCAGCCCCTTTTGTTTGCTTTAAGACAGTGTCACTAAACTAGCTAGGCTTGCCTCCAAACTTATACTGGAATGATTGGTATATGCTACTATATCCAGCAAGAAGAGGGTTTCATTTAAATTTTTTAGAGACAGTGTCTTACTGTGGATGTATGGCTGGCCTAGCATTTGCTGAGTAGGCCAGGCTGGCCACGACTTCGCAGAGTTCCATCTGCTTGTACCTCCTCAGTGCTGGGATTAAAGGCACTACCAGCATACCTGTCCTTAACCATGAAATTTTATTTTTATGATTGTGTGTGTTTGTGTGCATCTGGACTCTGTTCTCTCCTTCCACCTTTACCTGGGCTCCAGGGATCAAACTCGGGTTTCTAGGTTTATTTTATTTCATATGAAATAATATTTTGCCAGAATGCATGGATACGCAGCATATGCATGCAGTGCCTGCAGAGGTCAGAAGAGGGTGTTGGGCCTCTGGGACTCTCCAGTCCACAGAAGGTAGTGATGGCCTGCCATGTAGCCGACAGACCAGACCCTCTGTAAGAGCAGCAGGTCCTGTGAGCTGCTGAGCCGTCTCTTCAGCCCCTAGATTTAAAAGTAGGTTATTATTCCATGTATACATCTTAGAAATTACTCTTAAGGTGTGAAGTCAAAAAATGTGGCAATGGAAAGGAACAAAGTATGGAGATTTATGGTTGGATATTCCTGTCATACTATATGATTCTTGACTTAACATGGCTTTTAATTACATTTGCCCTTTTACCTTTGGCAAAGCAACCACCACTCCTTTTTCTCTGGAAAACATACCACCTGGTCCCCAGAGCTTGTTGAATCCAAGTGGCCATTGGCCACTCTCCCAGATACTGTCTCCATAAGTAGAAAGTGTCAGCTCACAAAACCACCTCTGCAATGTACCCGTGTACTACACGCTCAAATTAAATACGGGATAAAAATGGAACCTCACTGTTAAGTACAGTTATAGGATAGAAAGAAAGACAAGCATGGTTTGAATATTATCTAGGAATAGTGGGAATAGACACACTAAAATGGGGTAATCAACTGGAGACAGGCAGTGTAACTCAGTGCAAATGATCAATACCTGCAGGGCTGAAAGGATTGTAAGGACACTTGAGAAAGAGCAAACAACACTTGCAAAAATCCAGAGATGTTTATTTCAAGAGTTGAAGCTAACGTTTTAATTTCTTGTTCGTGGAAAGAGCTGCAAGTAATTTGTCATCACAGAAGCATATGATGTGTGGGATGAAGTGAGGAGGAGAGTTGGACACATGAGGAGCAAGTGATAACTGGCCTTGTATGTCATGCCCAGGGGGTTGGACTTTTCTTCTAGACCAGTGGTCTCCACAAAGAGATGTGAGTGCAGGGAAGAAGACTAGATATCCTCTTAAATTTTCTTTTCTTTCTTTTTTTTTTTTTTTGCACACACATGCGTTTGTGTGAGTGCATGTAATAGCCAGAGGACAGCCTGTGGACTCTTTCCTTCCACCTCGTGAGTATTGAATTGGGGGTCCTCAGGCTTGTCGGCAAGCATCTTTACTTGATTGCTATGTTCCCAGTACCTAGATCTTGCCTCATTTTTCCTCTTACTGTTATCTTTTTAAATGTTAATTTTGTGTTGTTTTGTTTTTTGAGGCAGTTTTTCAGGTAATGCAGGCTGGCCTTGCACTATGTAGCTGTGGATGACTACGTTTCTGATCTTCCTGCCCCACTCCCCGGGTGCGGCGATTGTAGGTGTTGACCGCCATGCTAGGGTTATGTGATGCTGGGGATCAGACCCAGGGTTTTGTGCACGCCAGTCAGGTACTCCACACCCGAGGCACATTCACTTATGGTGTGTAAGTAATCATATTTGAAAGGCCTGTGTTAAAGACTTTTGTTCCTTATGGGAGTCATGTTCAAGAGAACATAGAGCTTCATCTGAGAGAGGCAAGTTAGAGAGTTGGAGCACCCAAGGAGTTCCAGTTAGCCCTCACAGGATCAGATCTGCTCTATATCTTCTGGGGTCTCACAGGAGGATGGGGTGGAGAAGAGCGGGTCCAAGATAAGAGACCTGCTGCTGAGCTGCCTGTGGTCCCATCTCCTTCAGATGCTCAGCAAACAGGATTGCTTGAGCCAATGAGTAGAGGCCAGTCTGGGCGACATAGCAAGAACTGGTCTCAAAAAGGAGGGGGGGGGGGGGGGGGGGGGA